AAAAAAAAAAAAAAAGGAATCTTGATCATGGAAAGTCAGATTTCAGAAAAAAATTCATAACATAACCCCTTCAGTAAATTTCTCAGCTCCTATCTTCATATATTATCATGAATAACTAAGAGTTCATTTTACCCAGCTCTTCTAAAATTCTGAATCCCCAGTGTGTAAACTATAGTTGACATCAAGAAGAACACTATGTCTTGCTAGCCTTATGTAATACAAATCAAATCAAGTGACCAAGTTGTCCATGGATATAACATTCCAGTTAATTTTAATAACATATAAAAAATAATTAAATATATAAAACTAAATATATATGTAGGCTTGCCTTTTGATGAAAGCTAATGATTTATGACAATAGCATATAGTTAATATTCACTTTTGTTCCTAAAATATCTTTGTTTAAACAAAGTTTCTGAGCTTCAAAGCCCAAATTCACCAAGGAAAGCATCTTCTAAATCTTACTGCTGTAAGCTCGTTTTCCTGGACTATTATTATACATAATAAGAGACTTGATTTGACAGCTCCTATAATAACACATTATAAATTTTAAATTGGATGTGTTTTTTTTACCTTAAACTCTTGTGATGGCAAAACCATTTTCCTCAAAGCTGATTGGTTATGCAGGTCTACAACAGTGTTTAAATGTGACCTTGGTATGCCAGGCTTTCTGACGAGGAGGAGTCTTTTTATTTTGAGCATTTTTGGTACTGGACATGACATCTGCATGAAGCATTTTTGTTTTATTATTAAGAAATAAATGTGTCTTGCTCCTTGAGATCTCCCTGGCTTCAGCAATTTGTTGTCATTTCCACTAGACCGTTAAAAATATATTTCAAAGAGAGGCTAACAAAGTTCAAATAAAAGTCATTTTTTATATATTGCAGCATCTAACTGGCATTGGGTGAGTATTAGAGATTATCAGCATAAATTATATAATGCCAAATAATGCATGTAATTCATAGATGTTAGCTCATGTCCTTATTGCATTCCTTGACGTTGGTTTTACAATCATTGTTTGCAGACTAATCTTCTGATAAAACTTTAAACTCCTTGCTTTATTTGGTGTATTTATTTTCTTGCAAGTTTTCTTCCAACGTACTTAGATCTCCTTTAATACCGTGCTCTTGTACATTTCCCCATAGAGAAGTCTAGTTTTGTTGACATTGCACTAGAAGTGCAAAACACATTGCGTATGTCATTTTCTCTCCCATGTATCTTTCACCCTGCTCTTAACACAACAGATTAAGCTTGATTTAAGCTTGATTTTGAGGACCCTCTAATAAGGGTGTGATTAGATAAAATAATTAACATGACATGTGCCACCTTAAAGCTGAAGCTTTGCTATTCATTTCATTTATTTGTTCCGTTTCTTTATTTGAGTTTCTTCTCATGCTAAATCTGTATTTTTCTTAAAAGGCTTATGAAAATTTTGGTGAAAAAATGTTGCTGCTTCAGTGCAGGCATGGAGCCTCTTTTCCTAAGCTAGATAACTTGGTGAGTATTTTCATTTCTTTTTCCAAATGTATACCAGCTCTCAAACTAGATATTGTCAGAAGTACACTTGAGAAGACAAAACATTATTTAAATATGTCAGAAGGGCCGGAGGCGGTGGCTCACGCCTGTAACCCTAGCACTCTGGGAGGCCAAGGCGGGAGGATTGCTTGAGCTCAGGAGTTTGAGGCCAGCCTGGGCAAAAGCAGCACCCCAGCTTTACTAAAAATTGAACAATTAGCTGGGCATGGTGGCACACACCTGTAGTCCCTGTTACTGGGGAGGCTGAGACAAGAGATCATTTAAGCCCAGGAGCTTGAGGTTGCAGTGAGCTATGATGATGCCACTGCACTCTACCCAGGGCGACAGAGCAAGACTCTGTCTCAAATAAATAAATTAATTAATTAAATATGTCAGAAGAACGAAAGAGCATCTGTGTTCACACATGGAATGGAAGAACTTACACAGTTACTGTACTTTGTAGCAATCATTATGAGTGTTATTTTCAATTCAAAAGATAATTAATTATAGACTTTTATCAAATCATGGACTTTCAGAGATGGAAGAGATCTTAAAAGTCATGCAACATAATATATTAATTTTACAAAGGAGAAAATTAGTGGCATTATATATTTGCAAAATAAAAAGCCACATCTTCCTACGTGAGTGTGCAACATTACCAAGAATCACTGTGCCAGCTGCTACACAGTTGAAATGAATGATTAAGCAAGAGAAAAATCAAATGTCCAAAAGTTCTCCAAAATCTTGGCCCATAATCTTAGACACATTTAGAAGGGAAAGCGTTCACCTGTATTCCCTTTATTAGCTTCCTTGTATTGTTGTAGCCTATACTAAACACACTAGTTTTGACTGTTATTTTTAATTCTCTATGATGTTATAACTCTGAAAATCTTGAGTTTGTAGGACTTTTATGTATTACTGCTTCGTTTGTTTAATTGCACTCTCCCAGTTTCTCTGGTATTCAAAATATAGTTGATTATACCTACAGTTTGGGAAAAAGTCAATTATAAAAATGTCAACGTGCCCTTTAATTATATTGTTCCTATGGAAAACAAGCAGAAGGGTAAGCATTGGCTCAGATCACTGCTAAGTGCATTTTGTGCCCAGAAAAGGAAGAAAAAAAACAAAAGGAATGAGCAACTATTAGGTGTCTACATGTTGGTTACTATGCTAGGAATCGGGCTGTATCTGATATATCATGAAAATGAATCATTCTGATTAAAACCTTTACTTTCCTTTATTGTATGTGCAAATAAAAACGGGTTCCTTAAGGAATTACCCTAGTAAGTGCTTCAGAATAAACCTTGATTAAAGATGTAAATACAAGTCTTAATTTTACAAGGCTTGCTTAATTAACTAGATTTGCATAATTGAAATCCACAAAAACAGTCTTCAAACTTCATATGTGAATCTATAGTTTCAACGTTTTCCTCTAGAGTTTAATCAAGGTATCTAACAAAGAGATAAATTCACATTTCTGCCTGTTTCTTCCTATTTTCCTGACTGGACCTTGAGCAGAAATGATTTTTAAAAGAAGAATGATAATAATAATGATAATAATAGAAACAACCAGAGAGAAACGAGAAAAAATGGGATTCTGGAATATTCCAGTTTATTTAATTAGCCTCTATGTAATGGAATATTGTCTATAGCATCCTAGAAAATAGCACAATGTCCTGATTTTGGAGAATGCCCTCATTGAAACTGAGATTATTCTGTATAGTGAATGTAGCTGGACATGACAATTCCTTTCTAAACCAACTTAGCAACTAGAAACTCAAACCCATCAATATTCCTATTTTTTGTATAACCTCGTAATTAAATATTCTAGTGCTATGATCTTTCTCTCTCTCTCTCTTTCTCTTTTCTAATTCCTTTTTAATCTGATCCTTTTGGCACCGTGGAGCAGTACCAAGTAATATTATAATTGTCTGATAGTCTCTTAGCTTAAAATAAAAATACCAGCAGGGGCCCTGCCTATCTCTGTACTCTCCTTGACAGGCAAGTGGGTTAATACCTAGATAAGTGCAGAGTGCCTTTAGCATAATTATTTCACAGTCCAAAAAAAATTTTTTTTTTTTTGAGACAGAGTCTCACTCTGTCACCCAGGCTAGAGTGCCATGGTGTCAGCCTAGCTCACAGCAACCTCAAACTCCTGGGCTCAAGCAATCCTCCTGCCTCAGCCTCCCGAGTAGCTGGGACTACAGGCATGTGCCACCATGCCCAGCTAATTTTTTCTATATATTTTTATCTGTCCAATTAATTTCTTTCTATTTTTAGTAGAGACGGGGCCTCGCTCTTGCTAAGGCTGGTCTCGAACTCCTGAGCTCAAATGATTCACCCGCCTCAGCCTCCCAGAGTGCTAGGATTATAGGCGTGAGCCATGGCGCCGGGCCCACAGCCCAAAATTAAATTCAGTTTTGTATTCCAGGTACCAAGAGGAAAAATGAAGATTCTCCTGGTCTTTCTCGGTCTGCTTGGTAATTCCATTGCTATGCCAGTGAGTACTTTTTAAATGTTAGGCCTTTTTTGTGTGTTCTGTCGTTGCATGGCTTGACGACAACTATAGAGCTTATTTCAATTGATGTTCTGCCTTTGTCACTGTTATTCTCTCAGTTCCAGATGCACATGCCGCGAATGCCTCGATTTAGCAGTAAAAGTGAGGAGGTATGTACATTCAGTCTCAGGGGAGTTTTCCAGAGTCCTGTCTTAGAAGTTCCTAAGACAGAAGAATATTGGAAAATTTTCTGATATGTAAAATATCTTAAGAAAGAGATAAAGGGAGGGAGAATTTCAAGTTTTAAACTCGGGAGGCTGAGGCGGGAGGATCCCTTGAGCTCAGGAGTTTGAGACTGTAGTGAGCTATGATCATGCCACTGCACTCCAGCCTGGGTGACAGAGCAAGACCCTGTTTCTAAAAAAAAAAAAAAATGAGTAAATGAATAAGAAAATCTTAAAACTCTCAAATCAAGGCAAAGTAGTTTCCCCACTATCATCCTACGTATGTGTTTCAATGCTCGTGTTTAAGGTTAATGTGGATTTATGGTAAAATCTACTTGATGTTAGCTTCTTTGGTAAGTTTTTTAGCTAGCATAGGTAGCTATTTTTACCAAGGGTTATTATTAGAAGGTAGAAGCTTAAAAATCTAAATATCTTTTACATGACTCACACCCAGGATCATTAACCAAATTCAATACACATCAAAAAGGAGAATCATCTTGTCACATAGTTTTCACGTTCTCAAATGCTGAACTCCAAAAGAATAGAACAGAGCATTCAAAAACTTCAAAGTAGACCAGATTTCCATTTTCTATTATTTTATATTGATTCTTCTCAAAATAAAATTCTGACTTAAAAATTAAAGTTTTCTAGACGTTTCTTTAGTTGTATATTTATTTTACATTCATGCATGACTAGTATAAGACATGATGGTTGTGCTTTAAAATTGGAAATTCAACTTATTTCTTATGATTTGTGGATTGATTGAAGAAAATTTTCACTTTGCGTCACAATAATGGGTCCCTTTGGTTGCAGATGATGCGGTATGGTCACTTCAACTTTCTGAACTCCCCACATGTAAGTTCCTCTTTATGTTGTTTCAGATGATTTCTCATTTGTATCCAGATAGCTCCATTTTAAGGTTTGTCTTAGCTAATAGAGACACCAATCCACATGTATTAATTACAATATAATCATTATAAGAGTTTCAAGGGGAGAAAAATCCTTTCACTTGTTCCCTCATACCAAATTTTCTCCTTATTCATTGTTTTTTATGTAAATCAAAATAATTTAATCATAAGAAAAATTGTATATGTAGCCAAGAAAATTCATTGTGGAAAAATACCACAAAAGATTTCACAAATAAGGACAACAAAAATTATATAGTAAATACTGGTGGCGTTAAATTTTATTTGGATTATTTTAAAAGATAATACTAAAATTATGAAATAAGTTTTTTATGTTATTTAAATACATGTAGGTTATTCTTGTCACCGTGCTAATTTCAGAATAAACTAATAATGAATCAAGTATCAGTTGGATCTTCTGACATAATTTTTCTAACAAAATGCAATGATAGCGCAATAATACTAGCCATCACTTTTGACTTTCATGGCATGATCATCAGTGCCATTTTAAAGGAAAAAATCAAGAACTTCATCAATTGTCTCTTAATCCTTTTTGTTCAAGTGATTCTCTTTTAAATCCCCTTGCCTAAAATCATTATCATTGTCAATTTTCTCTTCCTCAACTTTTGATTGGCCCAACTTTTTCAAACCCTCTTTCTTGATTTTGGTGGCTTTGCCTGTGATTTGAAATTTTCACCGACTTAATAGTAATGAAATTCTGCATCTTGATGCAACATTTGCAATTTTGTCTTCCATCACTCATATATCTTGGGTACATCATCCAACAGATAGCAAGAGACTAATTAATGAGAACTGGGGATAGAGAGAGGTGTTAAACCAAGGAGGAAATGTTTGAACGGGAACTAATGTTGTAAGACTACTAATTCATAAATTATCATAAATTCATAAATTAGCATTTTCAGATTATTATAACTACTTTTGCTTCCCTGCTCAATCTTGTAATTGCCGGGATTCTGATAATGAAAGCAGTTAATGAAGATCCATCTGTAAACCAGGAAGCATAAGCACCATATAAGTGTGTTGACACAGATTGAATTTTTATTCTTTTTCTTTTCTTTATGTTTTTTTTGTTGTTTGCTTTATAGTCTCACTTCCTTTATCTTAGTTTTGTTTTTGTTTTTTCTCCTCTTTATTCAGCTTTGTAACAAGTCACCTGGGTTCTGAACTTGACATTAAACCCTCTGTAACCTTACTTGTACACTTCTTACCTGAGTCAGAGTTTCAGAGTTAGAAAATCATCAGTCAAATTCTTAAACTGAAATTTCTCATCTAATTGTGCCTTTAGGTTTGTTCAGTTGTTTGGCTTTCTGGAAGACTGAAGTTCATTTCTATAAGACAACATTTAAAGAAATTCTAGCTAAAGATCTTGAAGCTTCCATTGTTGAGTCAAGTTTCATAGGATTTTTAAGCTCCTTGGCTGAGTTTTAGAGGCTGACATGAGAGAGTGGGGAGAGACTGAATCTCAGCCCTAGTGTAATCCCACTGTTATGTGCTACCCTTTCAGTTGCCGCACTTCGGCCCCGTGTATGGACATGGTTTGCAACTCCCTCATCAGTTCCCACCATACCAGATGCCCATGTGGCCTCAGCCACCACCAAACACATGGCAGCCACACAAACCCTCAGCATCCAAACGCCAAGGCAAGACTGACCAAACCCAAGATACCCAGAAACCCAACGAAACTCAGCCAAAAAAGTCATCACAAAAGCGGCCTTGGACACAGCCTCCACATGCCCCAACCGATCCCAAAGAAGACGATCAGCCACCTCAGGTGAGCCTTGCCCAGAAAAATTCCAAATCAGAGCCATAAATGGCCTCAGAAGGAACTGGAGGGCCAAGCCACCCCCACGTACACACTTCCTCCAGAACTCCTCAATATAGGTACTCTTATGTGGCAATACTATCTTTTGTTTTGACACTGACCCAAAACCGCATGGCAGGTCAACTCCAGCCTTGTCTGATACAAAATCACCCAAATATTGTTCCCTTAAAGAAGTTCCTTTTAAAATACAGAGGCAACATAACATGGTGTAATAACATGAGCAGTAATCTGAGAGTCGATAAACGAAGGTTCAAGTTCTATCCCCAGCCCTTAATTAATTGTATGATCTTGAACAAGTCACTTCACCTTTCTAGATGCCGGTTTCCCCGTGAGTAAACTAAATGGTTTCTAAGTCTCTTCCAGATCTATGCTCTGATGATCTGAAATATTGCTCTGAAATTAACATTGCTTCCAGTGCATCAGGACAGCATAAATGTCGTCCTGATGTAAGGCAAGAAGATGTGCACATGGTTTCTCAAACTCTCATCCAGTGTGGCGCTTCAAAAATACTGGCTTTTAGTCAGTTAATATTTATTATCAGACACTATTCTAGACGTAGGGAACACATAATTGAATAAAAAGACGCTCCTGGATTTGAATACTGGTTTCAATCATTCACTAGCTATGAGATTTTGGGCAAGTGATTTAACTTCTCTGAACTTAATAATCTTAAATAAAAATGAGAAAAATGATAGTAGTAGGTATGTTCTATGGTTATATGTGGATGAAATGAGTTTAACAATATAAAATGCTCAGCACAGGGCCTAGAACATAAGTGTTCAATAATACTAATTGTTATTGTCATTATCATCTTTGCTCTGAAAAAGAAAACACAGATACACAGTTTGATGCAAAGAGAGTTGTAGACTCTCAAGTTTCTATTGTATTTAGCTGATTTGTTTCACTTTTTATTTATTCTTCTCAATTCCACGTCACTTTTGACTCTCTTTGTCTTTAGGCATTCCCACCATTCGGCAACGGGCTATTTCCCTATCATCAGTCACCGTGGCAGATCCCACAGGTGAGAATTTTTTTACACTAGAAGTGAAAAATAATATTAATATGTTATATTTTAAATTAATGTAAATTCATACACTCTAATGGAATACCACATTCCAACTGGTGGAGAGTACGAAACAAAATCATTGCGTCAGTAATCATGCAGAAAAAAATAATTTTTGAATGAATTTTATACTCAAATTGGTGACATGAACACAGCCTAAATCCCCAAACAGATACGAATGACTTAGTTCATAAATTCATCTTAAAAGGTTGTGCTACTTCATCACTATACCCTCACTTCCTTAAGAGATTAGAAAACACAGATTATCCTCATTTAATGTAATGGAGAAATTGGGACAAAATGGAGTTTGAAAACTACAAGCTAAACTATGATTAGACTAAGATATTTCCATCATATCTTATTGTTTCTAGCCACAGATACATCATTATAAATAATCTTGCAGAACAGTATTTATAAGAATGCTTAAAGAATCCTTTAAGGTTTAAAATCATTAAAACATAATATTGAAATTACACCATAGACATTAAAAATATGAATGGCAAAATAAATTTTTGAACTAAAGAAATATTAAAGGCCAATTGCTATTCAACAAACAAAACAAGAAATATTTGATGACTGTTCATTCAGCCATGGCGTAAGTTTTTCTTGTCTACAACTCTGTAACCAAGAAGCTTTTTTACCAAAAAGAAACAATTTATTTCAAGGAGTTAAGAGTTCCTTACTTTTTTTTCCTTAGGAGTGACTTTCTTTTACTGGCCATACTGAACTAAGGAAACTAAGACAGTACCAAGTAAAGACTGTAAAAGCAGATAAATATGATTCTTAAGCCAAAGTAACTATTAATGTCATCTACATAGAAATTCTTCAAAGTCCACGGGAACCAAACTGCTTTTCTAAACCTTCTCACTGGATAGTAATCCCTAAGCAGAAACTCAACCTCCAAGTTTGATTAGGAAAATTAACCTTGCTCAAATAAAAATGTTATAATAACAATCCAAGAAGGATTGTCAGTTTGTCACCCTTAGTTTGAAGCAGGCATTCTGAAAGTAACATCATTATTTAACCTTTATTATTAAATCTTCTAATATGAATATTTGGATCCTAATAGCACTCAAATCTCTCTCTCTCTGTCTCTCCTCCTCTCTCTCTTACTCTGTGTCTGTGTAGGGGGTTGTATTTGTAGGGGGTGGGGATTTTTTTGGAGTGCTGGAGATAGTAAGGCAGAGTGATTGCTAGGAGATGCCGCCACACAGCATGTTTTAAGGAAGATAATCTAGGATTCAGCTGAAGCCTTTGTATGTACCAGTTTCACTGTTGGATCTTAACTCTTAATACTTAGACTCTGATAGCTAATGACTCAGAAGCTAAAAGCTCACGGTACTAATACCCAGTCACTAACTTGAGCTATTTTTAGACACCTTGCAGTCTTACAAACAAATGGTGGCACAGAAAGTGGTTTTCTCTTGTGTTCATTGTGTTCTTTACTTTGCAGAGGCTACCACCGCCAGGTTATGGCCGCCCACCAGCCAGCAATGAAGAAGGAGGGGTAAGTACGAGCAAAGCTACCTTCCCCATTAGGAGTTATAGTCCATTAACCCCTGCTTTTTCATCCACATCCAGTAAGAAAGTTAAAATCCAACACATGACCTTGGGAGTTCAAGCTCCCAAGATTGTTAAAAAATAAGAAAGTGAAACAAATCAAGCCAGTGACCTAAAGATCGATGCTGGACTCTAGACAGTGACAAACAAAGAAGTACATACGGGCATCTTAGAATGTTATCCTCAGGAAGGAAGTCGGTGACCAGCTAACTCCTTTATAGCACAAACAAAATGAAGCCTGGAGAAGATAAATTATTATTCAATTTCACCTACTGAGTTACTAGATAAACTGGACCCAGGACAACAGTTTTCTGATACCCTGTCCAGTGGCTTTTTACTATACAGCACTAGGAGAAGAGTCAAATGTATGCCACGCAGTGATATGCTCTTAAACTAGCACTGTCATTGTGTTAGTGATTGTGGCGTAACAGCGCATCCCTGGAGCTTACTTCCTCTTTTTCCCTAAACATATGCTATGTCCTCAGTCAAATGTGGAAACCCAGTAGCTTCGCTGGGATGGTAGGAGGGCTTGTTCTTAAAATAATGACATTGAAGATTACTGTGTCAGTAATGGCATAGGTGCTTTCAAAGATATCATTGTGAAATAACCCCAAATAAAAATGGTTCAGATTAATTGTACGCAACCTAGAAACTGGCTTTTCAAATTTTCACAAGCATTAACGTGAGAAAGCAAAGCAGAATGACCCAGGCAGTTACCATAGGCATTAAGAAGTCTATATTCTACCTCTTGGCCGGGCGTGGTGGCTCACGCCTGCAATACTAGCACTCTGGGAGGCCAAGGCGGGCGGATCGCTCAAGGTCAGGAGTTCGAGACCAGCCTGAGCAAGAGCGAGACCCCATCTCTACTAAAAAATAGAATGAAATGATCTGGAC